ACATTTCTTCAGCACTTGTAAATGGCCTTGGTTTTGTAGTGCAAATGAATAAAGAGACAGTGATTTTTGTGCAGCACTAGCCTCAGCTTCTAGACTTTTGTTACGTATCTCCTGTTCTGTGACTTTCATACCAGACTTTACATAGGTGACATGAGTGACGGTCTTTGTTCTCATAAAAGTGACATATATGCTGAGACACTGTATATATATTTCTTGCATAAATGCAGTCTTCATTACCATAATGTCTAAATGCCTAATGTCTAAATAGTGAGTGCATTCTTCTTTCTGCTTTCTTGCCTTGCTACAAATTGTTATTTCATCATGTAGGCATTGTGTTTCAAAACAGAAACACACAGCTGTGCCTTTCTTCAACATTGCCCCCAAATGGATCCCATCATTTAGTAATTGAAGTTATTGATAGAAGCTGCATAATGAACCTTAGAAAAGTCAGAATAATGAGGTGGTTTGGCATTAGTTTTGTGTGTACACGGTTTTATGAAACTGTTTCATAGCTGCTCTAAAGATGAAAAAATATTAGTAAGCATAGGGCAGCAGATGCTAGTGGAACGCCAACTGAATTTCTGCTGCCAAGATATCTTGTGTAATTTGTGTCACAGTGATACACACACTCACCAGTCTGTTAATATTTATGCAATTTGCTCTCTTCTTTCGGGTTTCAGGTATTGTAGACCAGAGGAAACACAGGCTTGACATAAACTGTTGTGATCTACTGATTTAGTTATGCAGTAAGTGCTCTCACTTCATCTAGTTGAATGACTCAAATTCCTCAAGGTAATGGAGTGTTTCATGGCCTGTCCATCCCATAGGGCATGAGCACATTTCTGTCAACAGGATATCATCTACATAACGCTGTATAAGGTAATTCCCTTCCAAGCCAATCTCTAGGAATGATCCTAGGTCTGTAATCAAAGAAAAATTCTGAAGAAAAGGGTTTGGTGTTTTTTTGTTTTTTTTTTTTTTAAATTATTTGTGAAAAATAAGGTGGTCGTAAGTCATGGCATTGATTTTTTTTTTTTTTTTTTTCCTGCATGTTTTTTTTTAAGGATGACCCAGGCAAAGTACTCAGAAAGGCTCCACGCTTTCTTGAAACCATGCCCCTTCAGAAGAGCTGAGTGTGGGAACTCAACGAGGCAAGCATACAAATCACCATCCAACTGAGGGACTCAGGCTGGGAAGGACCTCCTGAGCAATCATCTCTGACTCAGTCCCTTGTTAATACAAGCAATTATATCACATAATCCCTCTCATAAACTGGTCATGCTTCACATTTCAACTACTACTAAAGTTTTACCAGAAATTTGCTGCCCTTTCTTCTAGAAAACCTGTCACAGTTTCCAGTGGGAATGTGCTCAGGGCCAGTCTTTTACTATTCGTTCTTCTGACAGCATCACTCTTTAGCTTAAATAACTCTTCAGCTCTCCTGATGTCTTCTGCCTTGATGTATTTGTAAAAAGTGAACACATTTCAACCTTCTTTTTACTAGACTAAACAAGACAAGCTCTTTTGGTGTCATCCAGAAAGAACAGCTTTTCTTTCCACTAGCTTGAAGTCTTCCACAGCTGTCTCAGGCTGAATAAATTCATTCTTGAATGTGAGTGACCTGAGCTATACACATTATTCTGGATAAAGTCTTGCCAAAGCCTTGTGCAATGGCATTTTGAACATTCAGGCTGAGTCTGGGATTTTTTGGGTCCATATTTTGAGTTCTGTGTGGCAGGAAGTTTTGGGTTCACTTTGTATGTTTTTGCTAAAGCTTCTGGAATATTAAATGGGAAACTTAATTTTTTGCTGACAGTTTTGGAAGGAGCTTGGGGGGAACTGTATTCCCAACCCTGCTTTCCATGGGAACAGGACTTCCTTGGATAATTTCAGTTCTAATTACAAACAAGGAAAATGATAAACATTTAAGCAATAATCCCCCAAAAGAAATATGGAACAAACAGTGTGGTTTGATGCAGAAATGCCATGTTCCTACTTGTTATCAGCAACAACCTAGCTGTGTCACCACAGAGGCATAAGCTCAGAGTCCCTTTCTCATCTGAAGGGTCTGATGCAAAGCAACAACAGAGCCATACATTGCTACAGCTAAGGAGATATCTGCCTCTGAGGCAGCCCAGCTGTCTCAGTATCGTGCTCCAGTATGCTGTCAGATGCAGCAAAGACCAAGCATGACTTCATGAAGGTAAATGGCATGGGCACCACTGTGCCTTTAGCTCCTTGGCTCTCGCTCTGCAGCTGTATATCAGTTGTTCAACAGTGGCAATGCAGAGACATTTCCTTGCATTTTCCTGCAGATACTGGAAGTCTCCTCAGTGAGACATCTACGTTGATGGGAACTGTTGCTCCGTGCTGAAAATGAGGAAACTTCTGATTTCATTCTGGCAGATCTTTTTTGTGTGTGTTATGCTCCCACTCCTTGACCACACAGACAGAAGGTACTGTGTGCTTGCAACATGCGTGACACCAAACTTTGGGGTGTACAGATGCATTATAACACAAATCACTCCCAAAAGCAGAGCACCTAGCTCTCACAGGAGATGATAAGAGACTCTGTCCACAGAGCTGGAGGAGAAACCTGTCTTTGTTCTCAGTGTATCCTCTGTCTTCATTTGGCTTCATTTTCCAGCCATGTTGGTTGCCTGTCTTCCTCCTGCTCTTTTCTTCCCACTGAAAAAGAGAGCAAGCTTTTGTCTCCTGGCTCCCTGCTTACCAGGTGACTGTTATTAGCTTACACCTGTGAATGCTAATGGCAAATAGTCATGGATGTTTTAAGGAGGAGAAACAAACAAATGAAATAAAAGAGTGAAAAAATTGGGCAGTATAGAAAGAAAAAAAATGAGTAAACCTATATAAATTTACAGATTTTCTTCAAATGTTCCTGCCACTGTTGTTCCAGAAAGGCCCTCTACGCTAGAAGTAGTAGCTGGCGGTCATGTTTAGTGTCCTGCATTTGTAACTGAAAGGGGCCATGACTCATATATGTGTATGGCGCTCAGGCTATAAGCCATTCTGACTTAAAATGGCTGAGGTTTACTGTGAGAAAGAACATCTGACTTGTATTTTCTTGAGTCTGAAAAAGTATCTTCAAATAACAGCATAAGGGAAAAACACTAACCGTAAAGAATTTTACATTCTTTGGAAGGATATCATAGCAGAACATACACAGTAGACTAATTATGATTTCATCTTTAATTTTACTCCAAAGTTAGTTGCATTTTTTTGAAATGTCATTCCTTTTTATTTTCACCAAAAAAATGGCCGCATTCCAGTCACTTACTTACAATCATCTGTATTAATTTGTGTTCTTCAAACAGCTGGATAATCTGTTGTAATTAGAATGAGCTCTGCTGGCTGGCTTTTATCATCCTGTCGGAGGAAATTAGCGGGCAGACTTCTCGTTCCCTCCAGCAGACAGTGGAGGGTGCTGTTGGATTTGCTGTTGTGGAACGGGAAAATGAATCGAAGCTGTTCTCAAAGAGGGCTGCCCAAGGCTCGCTTCATAGATTCTTCAATAGACTTTGCAGATACAGACCATCAAGTCTTGCCTTACTGGGGTGTCAAGGAGCACCAATAAGAGCCTTCCAAAGCATGATCTGAATTAGGCAGAATGCAGTACATCTGCTTCAACATGCTGGCTAGAATTTATTAAGCCATAATAAATCCATAATAAAACTTGTTGCCTAATTTGGGAGATTATATTGGGACACCCAAAGTCAGCAGTAGTGCTTTTCAGCTGTTTGCATTAGCTAAACGTGATACAAGAGCAGGTGCTTGGCAAGCCTGTCTGCCTGTGGTCTTGAACAGGATGCAGGATGAGGTTGCTGGATTGCAAATGCTGTATTTCATTGTCACTGGGACACAGTGACTTTATTAGTGAACATGTCACTAATAATATGGCAACTATGTGGCCAAAGGCTGTGCCATTCTCACGCCCAAGTAAATAGTACGGAATTAACAAATACGTTTCAAAGGAGCCCTTTGTGAATTGTAAATATGACTTGCTGCTACTGCTATTTAGACAATTGTTTTCCCTTTATACTACTTTTCCTGTAAAAACTGCAAATAGAAACTTGAGCTTCCTAACCAAAATAAAAATACCTGCTATACGGATGAGTAACTGGAGAAGTTGAAGTTGAATGATTTTCCCAGGATCATCAACAGAGGATGAAATCAATGTATGAATTAAGCTCAGAAGCTGAACTTCTCTGAACAACTGGAAGCAGCAAAAAATGCATCCCACGGCCTCTTTCTTTCCACCATGGAGGAATTCCAATTCTGAAGGAAAAGTGTTACACAGTATCTCTGGGGGATGAACGTTGCCATGCATGCCTCATAGTTTCATCAGCTCATGTAACTGATCAATATATCCTGATCATCATGTTTCTACATTGTTTTAAAGATGAGAAGCACTATGTCTATCCATGATTGAAGCTATTGCACAATGAGATTTTTATCCCACAGCATGTAAAGCAGCCCACTGAGGCATTCAGATGTACTCCTCTGCTCCAATACCATGAAGAAAAAATTATCCCTAAAAAATAATACAAATGTAAATGCAATATTCCCCCTTTTTCATCATTCTGAACAAGCCCAGAACTTCTAAAATTATATCTCCTTGGTTCCTTTCTGAATATTGGTGAGTAGCAACACCTCAGAGCCACACATATAGTCCTCTGGACAAAATTCCTTTCTGGAGTAGATTGCTGAAGGCTGACTTGCTAATGGGAAATGTTCCTACCTATCTCGTGTTCAGTTTACCTGGATTTAATCTCCTTAGTTTGAATTAGCGGAGGAGAATGTGTTTATGTCTGTATCCATAGATGGAAATAGAGATAGACTCCTTACTTGAGTGCACAATGTTTATTTTATCCTAAAAGTTTGTTTTCCTTTCCCCCCTCCCACTACAGTGTCACTGCTGCTGTATTTTATTAGACCTCTGGTTTTCATTATGCAAAAAGTCAAAACTGGAACGTTGTAAATCTCCCCTCTCCTTCCCGCTCGCTGCTCTGAAGCTGGGCCGCCATTCGATGCCTGACGGCTTCTCCTACCAACGCACACTATTTCCAGGGGCTCTGGGGAACTGGAGGTGAGAACAGGGAACAGGGAGGGGGAGCCTGCTTGCCCAAGGCTTGTTAACCTGAGCGCACACTCTCTTTCTCAAATTTGTTTTCTCAGCTGGTGGCACAGTCACTGCCCCAGCGCCATCAGTCCAGCAGAGAGCAGTTCCATTCGAGATCTGAAGGCAGATTTTAAAGAAGTGGTTGGGCAGGAGGGGGGGAGCTTAATAACAGCTTAGAGCCTGACTCTGCGTGTTTTCTTAGTATATTGAAATACGAACTGTGTAAACATGCTCCGCATTCCACCTGCTCAAGCATCTGCCAGAAATCTCACAAAAGCCCTTTGCTGTATTTTACACCCTCCTGTTCTGCCTGCCCTCCTCCCTGCAAGCTCTCCTGCACCACCTCGCTGTCCCGCTCCCCACTCAGTCTCCACAAACACATGCTCCGTTTTGTTCCTGCTTGAGACGCACATTTCCAACCTCTGCTTGCACCTAGCGTGCGGTGCCTTTCCCAGCCTCCTCTTTCTTAGGGTTGGGACTCACTTCAGCCTCAGAGTACTGCTTGGTGCTGATGCTTGTCAAGTTATTGTTGTTCTTCCAATAGTATTTACTATTATTATATATAAATATGGCAGCAATCACCCCAGAGACCGAATGCTTTCCACACCAAAACTTGGAGCAAAGCAGAAAGGGTTTCACCCACATGCTCTGCTTTTTACCTGTCTGCCCCTGACAGGGGAGCAATTTCCATCCAGATGGCAAGCCATGAAGGGTTTTACACTTTTACACTTAGTAAAAACACTGAACAAAGAAGGGCCTTTTCCATCGCGCTCTGAAAGAGAGCAGGCTGTGCTGGCGTCTCCAAGAGAGCAGATTTCCCCTTGGCATGACCTGCCGCCAGCATACAGCAGTGGGACACAGGCAGCAAACCACATTTCTGCTGCTCCGTGCCAGCCTCAAGGGCTGTGTGAGTAATGTGGAGTGAGCCGAACAGCCTCAAGCTATCTTCCTTGTTTCTTGTGTCAGGTGTGACCACAGCACCTGGGCCCCGGGGTGCATAGGGCTTGGTGGGGTTCCCGGTAGGATATGTTGGGAAGTGTGGAGGTTTGGAGCTGGGAAGTCGAAAACAGCACACTTTTGGCTGTGTTAACTGCAGCAGTCAGTAAGCCTTGCTGTGATTGCATCAGACTGCAAGAGGCTGGTCTGAAAAAGAATAAGGAACTGTGATTTAGGGCTAAGACAAAACTGTTTTCATTTGACTGCGGAGTGAAGGCATCATCTCAGCTACTGATGAAATGGGGCAGTGATGTTCAGTCAGTTTTCCCACTGTCGCACAGCCTTCATACAACTGGTATAGGTACCTTCATAAGTAGCTAGTTTCTAAGTTTCATTCATACTAGCTGAAAAAAAAAAATAAAAAGGAGAAGAGTCATAGATTCATAGAATGGCTTAGGTTGGAAGAGACCCTAAAGACCACCCAACTCCAGCCCCATGCCATGGTGAGAGCTGCCTGCACCAGCTTAGGCTGCCAAGGGCCCCATCCAGACTGGCCTTGGGCACCTCCAGGGATGGGGCACCCACAGCTTCTCGGGGCAGCTGTGCCACTGTTTCACTGTCCTCTGAGTAAGAATTTTCCTCCTAGCGTCTCATCTATATCTCCTTTCTTTTAGTATAAAGCTTTCCCCCCTTGTCCCATCACTATTAGAAAGTGCAAAAACTTGGTCTCCCTCCTGTTTATAAACTCTGTTTAGGAAGGATACAGTGAGGTCTTCCTGAAGCCTTCTCCAGAATGAACATGCTCAGCTCCCTCAGTCCGTCCTCATAGTAGAGATGCTCCAGGCTTCTCCTATGGCTTCTTCCTCCTCATAAGGGTGCTCTTGCTATCCTTAGCTCTCAAAATGCTTCATACTGTGAAGTGTGAACCACAGCATTCATATCTCAGCTTCAGTCCTTTATGGTCTGGTGGTTATGAGGGTAACTGTTCTGACTGATTTGAAAAGTGCCGGTGAAATACCACCAAAATAAAGCTGGCTACACGCAGGGGGCTGACCTGGTCAGGACAGCTGGGCAGTGGAGCTGGGAGGGCCTTGGCAGGGTCTTGATATGGCTCAGACTTCATTGGGGCAGCTCCTAGATGGGGGACAGAGGATGGGAATGCACTGCTGTTGCTGAGTTGTTTCACAGGTTCTTGGGTGTCTGCTGTTCACAGGACCTTTTTGAAGCTGCAGCATCTCAGTGGGTCAGTGCAGTGAGAGAGGGATTTTAAAGAGAGAAGCTTTAACATGATGGTCTGACTGCACAGATCTTACAAGGTCTTTAACTGGATTGTTTAATCTTTTGAAATTATCTTCAACTCCTGTGTGTTCGGGGGGCAGGGAGGTGGGAGACGACACTTGTTTGTTTTGTTTTCTTTTCCTGATATGGGGAATCAGCCATTTTAGGAGAGTAGTTACTGCGGTGTATCATCCACACTCTGTACTCTCCTGGGACCAGGGCTTGGGATTTTTTCATTCTTTTTTTTCCTTGCCTTGCACTTTGTTCCTGCATATATTTCTTCCTGAAACAGGAATCAGGTTAAATATCCTCACACTCCTTTCCAAACTCTTGGCATTAGAACCACCCTTCCCCTTTGCCTCTCCCCGCCAAGTGATGTGTGCAACAGAGCCCAGAGCGGGGAAGGGAAGGGAAGGGAAGGGAGGAGGAAGAGGAAATCATTCACCCCACCCTTCCAACCAGAAGCAGGATCTTGAAGTGGCTGCTCAAATGGAAGAAAGTCACAATTAAAAGAAAATAAATAAATAAATAAATAAATAAATACAAAAGGGATTCCCACTCCCTGCCCTGTTAGGATCATGATGTCTGGGTGTAACCCACACACAGACACAAGCAGCCCTTGCCAGAAGCTCATCAGACGTCAGTGAAAAGCTGAGACCACCCGGAGAGAAGTGGTAGTTCTAAGCAGGCCAGTGCTTTGCCTGGGGAAGGTGTCCTGACATCCTCTCCACTAAATTCAGCTTGCTGAAAGCTGTCCCCTGGCTGTCACAATTCCTCATCACAAAGTACAGTTGAACTCAACCGTTTCTAACTCAGTTAGGGCAAATGCTGTCCTGTCCCCAGATATTTTTTAAAAGGTTGCTGTGAAAGACTGAGCAACAGGGACGTGTATATTTGTTCCCTGAAAAGAGGAAGGGTCATTAAACTGGAACATCTAGTATGCTTTTGAAAGAATTGCATTACATCAGAACGAGCCAGAAATAAGATACCGTTTGTTAACTTTACTAATCCATTAAAAATACACCGGGCAACTGAACTATTATTTGTAACCCTCTGCAATCTCTCTTACAGCAAGGAAACAATGTCCGACTGCGTTTAGGTGTGGTGTGTTCTCAGAGCACATAAAGCTTTCAGCAGCTTTGTACGGGGCTGATTTTGATTTTTGGTAACAGCATATACTGAATCGGCTGGGGAAAGAAACTCTCCAACTAGAAATCTACTAGCAGTAAATTATCTGGAATTTCAAATGACCCACAGATATATTTATCATATTATCCCTATACTCATGAATTTATGCGTGGGAGGGGAGGAGGTCCCTGAAGCTGCAAATTGTCAATCCACATTCAGTACTTCAGACTAAGCCAAGTCATTCTCGCCTTTTCTTTTAAGCTGGACGTAACTAGAAAATAATTGTGTGGTTGAAATGAAAGATTTTACCTTGGGTAGTACTTCATCGTACTGAGTATTCTTGTGTTGGTAACACTGACTTGTTCTCCATCACTACCATGAACTAAAGGGAAAATGGAAATGAGCTGAGAAAATTTTTCTTCCTTTTTAATCTTATTAATCTTTTTTCCTCTGTTCCAGTTAAAACAAAAGCAAGAACTGTGGAGACAGATTGACCCTGTAATAGCAAGAGCATGGTTCAGTGAATCTTTGTATCTGTGACTGGGCTTTTCCTGTCCTCTAAATCTAAAATTGAAATGGCTTTTCTAGCTTTCAGCAGAAGGAGGTTGCGCTCTGAAGATAAAAATACACTTATGAATTGAAAAATATAGTTTCCTTTAGGATGCTTTTTAGAACATCAGGGTGCTTAATAGTAGAGATGGTAGCTGACAACAGAAATTGTATTATAGGCACCTCATGTTATCAGTGGAGGATAACAAATGCCCTGAGTGGATTAAAATTGCCTGAAAAGACAAAAAAAGGACAAATTGCTTGAAAAGCAGCTGGAGGCAGGGCTATATACTTTTGCTGTGCACATAGCAGTGGCAAACCCATGGCTGATATTTCCTGTCTTGCTGAGAGTTCAGGTTCTAAATTTAGGGCTCTAAATAAGTGATCTGATGTATGAAGGGCCTATACTGCCAACCAGAGTCAATGGGAAGAGCTGATGCCTTCATGCCTTTCCAAATCAGGGCATTTAAGTCTAAAGCACATTCTGGGAACCCGGCCTTTCCTTATTGGCTTCACTTTCCCCAACGGTCAGATGGAGCCATGGCCCTCCAAACAGCAAGCAAGTGGTGCTATATGAAAACATTTCTCTGTCAAGCCTGCCCTCCAGCCCACTGCTGGGATCTGCTCAGAAAGGACCCTAAGAATGATGGGATCCACCTGGACCAGCCAAGCCTGCTGGCAGGACCAGCCCTGGGCACCTGGCCCAATACAACACATTTTTAGCTGCTTAGATAAGTACATACAGACCCAGCAAACCAGGAGCTGCTGTCAGTCCTCTGCCCCTGGGCAAGGCTGGTCGCAGCTGGAAGCTGGGAAAGAGAATAGAAGCAAGGATGGGCTTCCAGAATCGTAGCCACCTTACCTCTGACTGGCTAGTATTTCTTACTAACTATTCAGAAAACTGTCTTAATCTGTTGTGCAATTACAACAGCAACACATTTGCCTGCCATCACGCCTCAGCAGCAGTACCTTAACAAGCAGTTCAACAAAGAGGGCTGCTGTTTCCTCTTTGCTGGTGAAGGCTCTACTTGTGTATGCTGGAGAGTTTTATTTCCAACAAAGCATCTCAGGAACCTGTTCTTTTCTTACAAGATACTCTGCCAAGTGCTCAGACCACCACAGTTCATCCTGCCTCCCAAAGCAGTCCTTCAGAGCCTTTCCCTGAGCTTAAGCATAGAAAGTTGGTGCTTTTTTTTTTTTTTTTTGAGAGAGAGAAGATGGAGACTCTTACGACACATCTATAAAAAGGGCAGGGAAATGGATCCATGTTTTTGTCTTGCCTTGCTTTTCCTGGCACTTTGTTGGGTTTTTTTGCTCCAAATCAGATGCTCTGAGGGATGACTGCCACACTGTCACTTCTTGTTTAAAGCATATTGCTACTTCTCACAACCAGCTCACAACCAGAGGTCCCTGTGTAATAAGCAGTTTTGGAAAAGTCAGTAGCATCATCTCCAGAAGTCAGAGATGTCAGCAGGATCTAGAAGTCTCTGCCTCTCCCAGGAGCAAAGACAGCCCCCAAATCCCTGCAATGGACAGGGCCACCTGTTGCACAGAGAGCGGTATCCCCTATTTTTTCGATGGATTTGTACAGAGACAGTGATTTTGTAATCACCGTATTTGCTGGTTCTTCCCAATATAAATCACTTTGAATTCCATTAAACAATTCCTAAGAAACGCAGAAGAGGTGTAGAAAATCACAGACTTCAAGAAAATTGGTGGCTGGATGGGGAAGAGTCTCCCTGCTCCCACGCCAGACACCCAAAGGAAAAGCATTTTCTATTTAGCCATTATCTATTTTCTTTGGTTGCAGCCAACTGGTCATTCGCCACATGCATTACCATCAGCTGGCCACAGTAAATGCTGTCTGTTTCTGATCTGGCACTACAGGGAATACGAACACGTTTTTGATGTAATAGGCAGAGGAATGAGGACAGTCTTGTGGGAGGCCAGGCTCACTAATTCTGTCACTCATGGGACAACTTGGTATTTTCTTAATTTTGATCATGACTAATGTCCTGTTTCTCTTTTTTCTAGTTAAGTCCCAAGGAAAAGAAAAGCAATTGCAAAATGGGAATGGAAACCTTGGTCTGTCTGGTGTTTGTTTCAGCACTGTCAGGCAGGTAAGATAACCAAGTTGTAAGAGTATAATAACCGGGGAAACCAGAAGAACTTGGATGGAGACATAATCATTCCAAGAAAAAAAAAGAACATTTTCATTTTCCTCTGTGGTTCTGTGACTTTCCTCTCCCTTTCCAAGTCTTCAGTCATCTGCACTAAAGGACTGGCTCTTTTTCAGTGGCTGGAAATGGCCTAAGCATTTCAAAGAAAGAGGGAGATACGAAGGACTTGGGGATAAGAGTCTTGCAAGTAATTTTCAAGGAAAATATTACAGCTCTAACAGCTAACAAGGGGCAAAAATCCACTGTTGGGAGAGTGCACTGGGATGTTGCCAAGAGCAAGTTGCTGATAATAGCTGCAAATATATCTGCTGATGAAATGTTAAGTTGCTTGATAGAGCTTTTTGGTTTTCAAAGTGACACTTTTCCATGAAAATTTACATCATAAGAATTTGAGGTGGGGCAAAATTGGAACCATGTGTTGGCTAGATCTGGCAATTGCAGTTAAAAAGGAGCACAGAACTGGTGTCCATGCTTACAAATTGCAGCATTAAAATCTAACAAACTATCACCAAATCTGACTTGAACAGAAGAAAGTTCCTGACAATGAGCACCTCGCTACAAACTCAGGATCAATGTTTGCTAAACAAAAACTACAGCTTGTTATCCCTGTGTCTGTCAGGAACAAGACACTCTTTAAAGCAAGGATTTTAGTTCATAGGCAGAAGAGAAGATAGGAAATTGGTACTTCAGAGGTCTAGGTGAGCAAGAAGTTGATCTCCTTAATTCTGCTTTGTTAAATGAACACACTAGCATATGAAATTCTTGTATGTTAAGTGACTTCTGTAAGAGCTTGTAAACATTATGACTGCAAATGATAGCAAGCAAAAGATAAAAACTTCTAGATCTGATTTAAGACAGCAGCATGCTCCTGACTATCCTAAATAAAACTTACTTGTCTGTTATCTAAGAGTTTATGTATAAGAACTTACATTCAAAAAAAAGAAAGCCTTCAAAATCTACCTTATCTCCAAGTAAGTGTAACTTAAATACAGGTGTAAAATAAAATAAAATAAGTGCTTAAATGCTTTCCTGAATCGGGGAATAAACATTGAAAGGTCATAGCTTTCTAAACAATTATTTTCAATTATTACCATTAAATATTTTCAGAGTACACTGCCAACTGTGATGGGTTGAAGCCAGATTCTTGTAGGGAGGAAAAATGAATGCACAAGAGTACTGAAAAGTGATCTCTGCTGTCTTGCCCTTTTGTCTCTAGAAACAAAAACAGCCAAAAATTGTTTTGGCATTTGTATGTACAAACCCATGAACAATGTGTTAAAAGATTACATTCTAAGGTTGTATACAAATTCACAATTTGAAAGTTACAGTTCAGCAGTCATTTATATCACATGACCAGACCATCAATCATAATAATAATAAAACAGGAGATTTTTCAGCTAGCACACTTCTGAGTATTCAGCCGAAATGGAGAAAAATGGGGAAATCACATAATATATCTTAGGAGTAGTAATGTCCTGTTATTGTTAAAAAACTGCTGGGACCTCATTAGTGACTATGAAAACATCATCTGTGAATACTGTGAGGCCATAAATCTACAGTGTCCAAGGAAGAGAGTGCAGGGGGGAGGGAAGGGGTGAAGGAAGAGAGCAAGCACAACATGCATGTTTGCCATTTTTTCTTACCCAGCTGTGAGTTAGTAATTTCCATATCTTCTTGCCAAACAGCTTCCAGAAACTATTACCAGTTATGTGAATTCAGTAGTCTGCTAATGAACGATAAGATAATGGGTCTACGTTCAAGAGTACAGAAGACAAATAGTTGTTTACATGTCAAAAACTCCCTTTCTGTTTGGGTCACTGCACACACATACACACAGGATTTTGAGGCCACACTTCATAGAAGTGCAGCTCCAACCCAGGGCTGCTGATGTTGCAGGTATGGTACTTCAGTCTTCAAACCTGGTTGTTTAGTCTTCCATTAACGAGCAGTTTTCTATAGCATTAATTAATGGTAGTAGATGATAAAGATGATTTTATCCTCTGCCTGTCTCATAGAGCCATAGAGCAGCCCCATTTGCGTCATAGTGCACAAATCCGTTTTTATCATAAGTGTATGTTCTTATGTTGCAGTGGAATTTGGCTCTGTATTTGCAGAGCTCACATCACCTGTCACTGAAATGTGGCTGCTTTTAGACAGGAAATATAGCACTGATTTTAGTAGCAGGAACAAAAGCTAAAAGTCAATTGAAATGGCTTCGGAGATTAGGTAGGAAGAACACAAGGCGTTTACTTGAGCCAGAGTTTCTTCAGGGCACTGGGTCCACCTACTCATGTATGTCTGAGAAATGATAGCTGATCCTTCACAGTCATGAGTAAACTGAAAAAGTGGAAACTACTTGTCAACGTGAAAATTACAGACTGGTTTTACAGAACCACCTCTTTTTTTTTTTTCCTCCCATATTGAGTGTGTGTGTGTTTTATTATCATTTGTCTGTTTTTCACTGTGAACTTTCACTCTAGATCCTTTTCTTGCATTTGGTTTCACAGCATTGGATCCTTGGTAGGTCATGTTGTGAAACTGGAGAGCTCTTTTGTACACTGCACCTTAGAAAGCAGTGAGAAAGCAAATAGAAGGGGATTTACCTCCCAAAAAAATGGGTACCTTATCTCTCTGTATGTGGAAATATAGCCACTGCAAAGTAAATGCCTCTAAAAAGACCTAGCATACCCAATACCAGTTTTGGAAAGCATCAAAGTTGGCAGCTGTCTAGCAAAGTGGCCTGCCAAAGGTAGTTAAACAGCTGTTTTCCATACTTTGTTTATGCTAGAGCTTTGGACAGTGAGACTTATGGCAGTAGGGAAGCCAGAGTTTAAGTGGTATGGAACTCTAAGGAACAGCTAAGACCTCTGTCTCTAACTACAGACAGTGTGGTTTTATAGGGTAGTTTTGGACTTGCAAATCAAACTATAGTTCTGTAGAAGAAAACTGAAAAACTGCAGTTTCTAGAGATTTTGAGCACCTTTATCACCAAATGATGTCAGCAGAAGTCTGGGAACTTCTGGAAGATGGAAATCAGGCACAGCTGAAAATCAGGTGTTCACACTGTTGGGTTTGAATCTTTCTTGTGTATCAGCTTTATTTCCTGTTCTCTAAGAGCTACTTGTTCCACTTTTACCACCTGAAGCCATACCCTTTTGCATGGTCTCGCCTTTTTGCTCTGCAGTGTGAACAACCCACAAAATCACCAGAGGAGAGCCTTTTTCTGCAGAAGCTAGCAGCTATGTTGGTTCTCACTGCAAACAGAGCCAACAACAGCAGAAGTCAAACCAAAGATCTAACCATGCCCAATCAAAGGTCATCTCCTGTATCACATCCCATTAGTCAAAAGGCAGAAAAGGCCAGTTATGATTTAAAGTAATCTGAAATAAAGCACTACTGCTTGGCTTGGAAGGAATTCCAGCTTTTGTAATGGATCTAGCAGAACTGTACATTAACGTGGTCTGAACTAATTTATGTTTTGTAAATGTATAAAAGCTGATGGGAAAGCAGTAGCCCCCTGCTGAGCTATATCTCTTGGAAGAAAAATGAGATGGAACAGGATTGGACCTTGTAAAATCTTGAAGACGATGGGGAAAAGAACGTGCTGTTATTCATCCACAAGAGCTGGTAGCTTCTTCGTTCTCCTGGGTAGTGTGCACAACCACAAATGGTCAGTTCAGGAGTATGCGTGATTTTGGTCTACTCAATCTGAAAGAAATAGTAAATAGGATAAAAACATTTGCCTGTTCCGTGTGTATATCTTCTGCATGTTTACCTTCTGATTGCCTAAGGTTGGACTGGCAAGTACAGTATTTGAGGTGAAAGAAGAATTTATAGTTCTATGAAATTCAGAAGGAAAAAACAAAACCCACAAATGTAGTGTTTCTGATGTTCTTCTCTCTCACTGACTAAATGTATGTAGCATTACACTACAACACAAGCTGCTCAGCCTGTCAGGGTAGAGGAATATTTTGAGCAGGATTTTCAGCACTACTAAGGGAAATTCAGACATTCAGCTCTAAATAAAAGACCCAGGAATGTGCATGCAGATCACTTCAGAAGCTTCAAAACATCACAACTTTCACGTGTGATGTTCTGCAGTATAAGCATTAGATGAACGTATGCCAGTACTGGCCTGAGATTCAAACTTTCCCTTTTCCGGGCCTCACTAACTTAGTTTACTAGATCAAAATATCCTAATTTTACTCTATTTTCTCTTTCTCTCTGAAAGCAGCTTATTCTCAATACTATGCCACTTTTCCTCCTGCGATATTTGCCTTCTCTTGATTTCTTCTCGTCCATCTTCAGGAAGGACAAGTGACCTCAATGCTCCACGTTCACGTCTCTCAAGCTATGAACTGCATTCTCAGTCAAGTCATCAACAATTTAGTAACTAACAGAAACAGCTATCTCTATTTCAAAAAAACTGTATTCTAAATGTTAAAAAGCGTTACCAGAAATCTGTTAAGGACAAAAAAAGAAAAAAAAGAAGGGAAAGAAAACCTCATTGTAGAACTAGAAAAATCATTCCAAGGCTGAAGTGTATTAATTGGGCCCATGTGCCAGCTGTTAACTCATCAGCAAGTCATGGCTCTTGGAGCCCAGGAGAATGCCTGGTGACTGCCAGAGCTTTTACCTCTACTCCTCAGTTATGCATGGGTGCATGTATCCTGCCAGACTTTCACAGACTTTCAACTCTGCCATTTTGGCCTCAGGTTCAAAGGCCTTCAGATGTTTCTGGAAGGACAGTTATTCTTGTTTTAGACCATTGACAATACTAATGGTAAGAGCAGATTTTGATCTCATATTTTGTGAGTCAGACTTTTATTTGTTTTTTTTCTGAAGTCTGTGCAAAAGGAGCGGTGGGTACTCTAGGGTCCAGCTTAAAGATCACTAAGAAAAGCCTGGAGTTTGTTGCCAAAGGTGATGAGAATGATTCACAAAAAGTGTCAATTTCTGTGGAGGTTACCTCTATGGAAACCAAAGAGGTGAGTCACGAGAAATGCATGGTTTCAGTATAGACAGGTGAGAATTGTTTCCAAATCCTGTAAAGAACAAGTTGAGCTAATAATGCAGCATGGTCCTAACTGCATGGACTGAACTGAAAGATAACTGCCGTAACATTATTACATATCTCTCTTGGGTTACTGGGGGTAAGCTGGTGTTTATTAGTGACTGAGGTATCAAATCATGATCTGCTTTGTCCAGGCAGCTCCTGAGCTTGTGTGGCACTCCATGCTGACATGCCATGCTGACACCAAACAGCAGTGCCAGAGAGAATTTTATTCTTTTTTCCCTTCTTTTTTTAATTTACACTTATTAGGCAACTGTGGAAGGTACCTTTTTATGACACTAATATGTACTAATGTACTGAAGTGTGATGTTAAGTGCCGTTGCCGTCAATGGGACACAGACTCGTGCTTATTTGAACTTAACTGATCTGTTGACTTTGGAGTCTTAGTTTTTGCAACATTTGGTATAAATTGTACAAAACTTTTCCACTTTCAATTTTAATTCACATTGACCTCTGTAGATGAGTCACTGAAAGCACAAGGATGTGTCAGTGGTCTAAGCCAACTCTATCACTATCACGTACTGTACATGACATCTTATTTTCTTCCTGTTTCCATTTAAATATATATACCAGGAGAAAAAAGAAATGGGGATTTCTTCTCCCACTCATTTCCTGTCTTCTATACTTCTGACTCAAAAATTCAGTGAAGCACCTGTGTGTTGAAGCACTAATATTTAGTTTATCTAAACATTTCCATTCAAAAGTCCCAGTTTTAGTTATTTATTATTTTCATAAACTTTAGCCTTTCTGGCTGGACATAGTCCAATGCTGTTCTCTTTCCAAAAGCATTTTTGGAAAATTTGGGTATGACTCAAACAAAAACAAAATGTAACAAAAAAATATACTTTTCCCACCATTTCCCCCAGATCTTTGGGATAGATATAATGGCCAAATCTTTTCAGATAAAAATCTAGCATTTGGCAGGAAACAGTCTGTAAAAGAAAAAAATTCCTTCTAACATCTTTCTGAAAACAGCTGGAGGCAGATGGAATTGTCATTTCCATTCTCTCAAATGAAGAAACTGAGGCACAGGATAGGTAATTGAATTTTCCTATGTTTTGGTTGGTGTTCTAAGTTAATTGATGATAATCTCCAACACTCTAAACATATCCTTTTATAAATAATGTTGCACACAAAGTCAAAGTGGTGGTTAACAGCTGGATATGCAGTCTAGTGTGTACTGGGTAACTGTGACGAGCTCAAGGGCATCTGTGCACTGAGCAGTCACATCAAGTGAATGCTGAAAGCGCTCACACACAGATTTTGTTCTTTCTTCTGTTCTTGTGAGGCATGGCAAAGAGATATTTTGTGACTGCTTCATTCACTTAATAGCACTGTATCTGGCCACTGAATTATAGCATATTGACATGGTATTGAAAATTCTTTCTTGAGCCTCAACGCGTTTGTTTGTTTGTTTGTTTGTTTGTTTTTAAGAGAGCTTTTAGAAAATAGTAGAGTCAGATGCCCAGAAAGCCAGTGGGGTTTGCAGCCATCCTCCATCAGCTCCTTTGACTATTCCATCCATGAAATATAAGTACCATGAATTGTAAACGTGTGAGCAGATCCACTGAAGTTAAGTATGCATTTAGATGCTTTGTTGGATGGATTCTGTTTGTGCTTCATAGCAGAAAAGTCCATGTGGTGGGGGAAAAAAAATTGAATTTTTCAGCCAAGCTAAAGTCTTTGAGAAAAATGCACTTATTTTCAAAATATTCTTCAAAAACAAGAAAAAAATAGGCTGTGAAAATGCTTAATTTATATTCCCAGTCACTTTTAATGATCAAGTCTTGCCTGGACACCTACCTGTGCGACCTGGTGTAGGGAACCTGCTTTGGCAGGGGGGTTGGTTTCAATGATCTCTAGAGGTCCCTTCCAACCCCTACAATTCTGTGAGTTCATAGATCAGGTTCTCTTGAGGCTGCAGAAAACAAAGTTTTTTGGGAGCTGCTGTCCTTGTCATGTATCATTCCAGAAAACATGCCTTCCTGATCTGTGCTGTTTATTTTGAAGAGACTTACAGGTTGACACATTGAGTTTTGAGAAGTCTTCATCAAACATTGTGTATGTGCATTAACAGAGATAGTTTTTAATGAGGTATTTTCATTTTTTCCTTGCTGGATTCTTTGTACAAGGTAGAACCTATAAACACAGTTTGGTTACTGTTACTGGACTGGATTGAGTGAGTGTAATAACATATTCTGGAGATATCTCACCTTTTAAATGTTCAGAGCCAGAAGTAAACACTGGAGCTTTCTCCCCATAGCCCCCATTGGATCAAACTACTTGCAGGTAAGGCTGCCAAAAAAATATTTGTCAGTTTATGTCTCAATCACATGGAAGTTACCAAAACCTGAAGATACATTGTGCAGAGAGGAAAAAAATATATAAGATAGCTGTTTGCCAAGTAAGTCTGCTGATTCTTTTTAGGGCCACCAAATAACTGTGTCTGAATGACTTGTGCCTGAAGAAGGAAAATACCATTTTCAGTGAAGCAGTTAAAGGTCCTATCACAGTCCATCCACGTAAGGAAGGGTGTGAGTTTGAGCAGCAACTTCCTTGCTTTTGAGCAGTTGGCTTCAAAGTCAGTAATGTTCTTTAAGTCAATAGGCATTTCTGTGTACATTTTCCCTGTGCATAATGGTAAGCTCTGGTTGTAGTGAACAGAGATACGACTTAGTGTGTTGTATAGCAGGGACTGAGGCACAGATCTGCATCCAAGGAGAATCAAACATCAGTGAAACACAGAAGAAAAACTTCTATTTCCTGAAAAGCAGAGGAACGACCAGAATCTTGGGTTTCAGCCCATCCTTGGGAAAGAGTATTGTGTACAGAGCATAGCTCATTTCTGTTCATCATTCTCCTCTTCATTTCCCCTAACCTCCTTTTCTGAGATCCAGATATATCTGTCCTGATCTTTCCAGGACTTTCCTTTTCTATAACTTGGTTAAACAAACGTCAGGCTCTGGTCAAGCACAATTAAACTTTGAGGCTTCCAAAGACTAGGCTTGCTAGATGACTGCTTTATCACTGGATGAATCCCCTCTGTTGACTCTGGCCACCCTCTTCCTGGCAAAGATGTCTCAAAGGCTCCTCCTAAGACTGCAGAACTCTTAGCAATGGTACCACTGCCTCAAGTCAATCCATGACTCATCAGTTATATGTAGACAATAGAGGCTGTACCTGTTGTGCAGGTTTGCTCTAATGTGTGCTTAAAACTCTATCTATTCATTTTCAGTTTATGCTCCTCTTGCTTCTTGACTCATCTTCCCCATCATATTCTCCTTACTGAATTTAATCCTAATACTTTGATCTTCAGAGGAAAGAGAAGGGTCATTTGCTGACCAGACACAATGTCTTGGTGTTAGGTATTGATCACATTTGCTGTTCTGTTTTTCTTTTTTAGAAAAAGAAAGCGAGAAGTCTACATATGATGCTGTAGGCTTCCTGGTCTTACTGCTGCCAATCTACAAAATTCAGGTTGCTGGCCCAGTGATGATGATCTTCTCACTACTGTCACAGTTGCCCTGAGAAGCTCCCGCAGGAGAAGCCAGATAATGTGTGAAAAAGAATGGAGGTAAAATTGGGCCATTATCACCTATAAGCCTGATCTGGACACAGAGCTCCTGTGTCCATAATACCTGTTCAACATGACTTTCTCTAGCTCGAGCTCTCTTCAGACATGGTTGTGCAAGGTCTCACCCACAAATGTACATCCTCAGAACAGACTTAGAAAAGAGAGAATTGGCACTTTCCATGCCATGCTTATTTAGTAGAGAAAACACTTTGATCTCTGTGGCTACCCATCTAACAGCCCCGCATAGCAGTAAATTCATACACGCTTTTTTTCTTTTAAAAATATATCTTCCAAGAAAGAAAAAAGTGAAAGGAAAAAAACAGCAATTCCAGGAAGAAGCTGAAGTCTATGAAGTGATCTTTCACTCGCTTTTGCAAAGCTTTTGCTAGTCAGCACCACCACGAATCTATCAGAGTATTTTCGGTAACAAGCTTTTGAAAAGCTGAATTTAAAATAAGAAGTGGGAAGTGGAGAGGGAGGCATGGGGAGTATCTTTAAACCAAATGCCACAACTGCTCACAAGGCACTCTATAATTCAGAACTGGGTGCCCTCAGGCACGCTGTACATACATTTATATTTTCAAGGGAACAGACCCACAATGCAAACACTGTGAGTGGTTTTGCCTTAAGGATCCTGTACGATTTATGCACACGAGAGCTCTTGTCGCTTGTAAGTAGAGGTCAGGAACCTGCCTGGGTGGAGAAGGCAGAGTCAGTGCTTTCCTGAAATCCCTCCTTGTGCCAGGAAATAATCACCACACCCACAGCTACTACATTTGAGCCAAGGTGTTCCAGGGACACAGTCTGTCATATAGGGCACGCCTGTGGAAAAAGGTTTTATAAACCATATCCCGTTTCTTTAATCTTCCATTCCTTGTTGCTGAAGGAAAAAAAAAAAAAAAATCAAGGTAGTTGCTTGTGAGGGAAAATAAAAGGCGTTTCTGTTCAATATCCAAAAGAAAAAGATCAAAAATAAAACTTCTGATTTTTCACGTATTCCAGATTGCTCAAGACAGGGTTTACTTTCACTGGGTTAAATAGCAGGTAATGAAGTCTTGACTATGGTGGCATAAATCAACTCTTTTGATGGAATAAAGGCATAAGGAGAACAAAGAACAGGCAGAGAGGCTACAATACCAAATGTTACTTGTTAAAATGTAGAACTGGTATTTGTTCCTGGTAGGCATCTTAATCTGTGATTTACTGTTGATTCAAAAATGCTACAATTTTTTATTAGCTCAGAATGGATTTGAAACTACCACTGCTACATAAAATGGCTAATTGTGTTTTATTGCTTCATTTCAAGTACAATTCTATCTTAGTGCCAAACATCAGGCTGAGAAAAATGACGTATTTTATTTAAAATAATTGCAGTGAAAAAAACTGAGTTGGTTTCTTTTGGCTGTCATTGTATTACTGAAAACTTTATTATGAATGAAAATCCTAGATACTTGTTTCTTTTCAGTATCATCTGTCTTGTATCTCCTTCGCTCAGAAAACATCCAGATTTGTTTGATTTTATAGCCCATAAATTTTCCTGAATCTTCAACTTCTCTTTTTTTTTTTGTCTCAGATATGTTTTGAAACTACACGTCTGATACTTTTCTCCTACAAACTTAAAACATCACATCACTCATTTTGTGTGGAGGCCAGTGGTATCTGAGAATCTGTAGTAAAAACAGAGGCACAGAGATGTTCTCAGAGCTGTTGCTAAGTTATATGTGGAGGTGATCTACACACTAGCCTTTCCCTAATTGCAAATTACAGGGAAATCAGTATACAGCAATCCCAGTCATCTTCTAAATAAAAACCACAAGCACTAAATAGAGAGAGCTGGGAATAGACCTTCCACAAAACAAAAAAAAACACATTGCTTTGGTGCTTGATGGCATGGCCACATGAGGTTGTGGGAGGGCAGCAGACTTCTCTTATCCAGCTTGGATATTAGGAAAAGCCAGGAGTTGGACTCAGTGATCGTTATGGGTTGCTTCCAACTTGGCATATGCTATGATTCGACAATCCTCTCTACTTCTTGTCCTTCAAGGGACAATGCTGGTCAATTGCTCATGCAGGCAGCGTGCTGTTATGGCTGAGATGAGGTACAGTCAACAGTTCCTAGATTCAGAGGACTGGAAGTTGTAGAGAGGCAGTGAAAAGAAAGTATTCACTGCAGTTGATGAACCTAATAAGGACTGGCATCTCCATGCTAGATTCATGCTCTTGGGAAAGTTAGTGACAAAGACAAGCAACAAGATGCCTGAGTGTGTGTGTGTGTGTATGTATGTGCATGTGCTGGTTGGGTGAAGAATGAGAATCAGGTGGTTTGCCAAAAGCAGAGCTTAAGAGAGTTGTTGGATGCTGTTGAACAGACAACAGATCCTACGACTATCTGATCATCAGAGGTGAGGAGTTCAGCTTCCATACCTATGTGCTTGTGTGCTGCAAGCCTCTCTTATTCCAACCTGTTGCTGCGATGTCAAGACTTACAGTGTGAAATCCTACCCTGCCTTCACTGTCTTTTTGTGACAGTGGTGTGAATTGCTGCTCTCCAGTTCCTCATCTACCCTGGAGGTGTTCAAGGCCAGGCTGGATGGGGCCCTGGGAAACATGACCTAGTGGCTGGAAACCCTGCCCACAGCAGGTGAATTGGAGCTTGATGATCTTTAAAGTCACTTCCAACCCAAGCTGTTCTATGTCTCTATGATTCTGTGATATAACACCTGAGAGTTACAAGGCTTTTTCTAAACTTGGGTGCTGAAGGGCTCAATTTGGGCTGCCAGTCTCAAGCAGCTGTTTCTAACTGTACTAGATAGAGTCTGTAGTAAGAAATGTTACCTGCTCATCTCACTCTACGTGGCTACAAGCATTAACAGATCCTGCTGAGAGCAATAAGCAATGGAAGGAAATGTCACTAAGACAACACCACTGGGGCCCCTGCTCCTGGCTCTGCTCATCAGATGTGGCAAGTTGCTTAGCAGAGAAAGCTCTGCATGCTCCATGGAATGGAGATAACAGCAGAGGATACTTTGGGGTCATTCTCATTTGTAAAATATTTTGAGATTCCTCGATGACAAGATACTGCATAAATCACTACATTCTATTTTCAAATATGCTAGTTCGGACAGCAGGTCTTGTAGGTAATTTATATTTTGCTTCGTTGCCTGGAAAAATCAAACTCTGCTGAATAACAGTAGTTTAAAGAAATAGCACTGAAGCCAGAACTCATGTATTTCTGCTGCTATTTTTCCTATGAAAGTATGTAACTATAACTAAGCAGTGTCATTCTTTCAAACAGATGGAAGCAATTGTCTTCTGGATAGATGTTACCTTGTCTGTATGGTTATTCCTAAAGCTAGGTAGCACCATTTCTAACTTAGTGTGTGATACATGATGTTGGTAGTGTTTTTGAATGTGTGACTGTAACAGGAGGTGTGAAGCACAGTGACAGCTCCAAAATCCACTGAACTTACTCTAAGTCTTTTCATTTACTTCACTGGCTGTTGAATAGCACCTATAAAATGAAGTTTATTGTGTACAATGCATTGTGAACATATTCTGAGTTACTGTCAGTGGCAGTAATGGCAAACAGCTGAGGTAACTTCTGTTCTGGGGGAACTGTTTTCCAGCTATTCTTTGAAAAGAACTTTCCCCATTTTTCATTGGGCCTTAAATATATGTGTGTTTGAACAAAAGTGTTAGGGACGCTTTACATTGCCGGAATCTAGTGAACTGATTTTTCAGGCATTGATACAGAAACATCATATGGTTTTATTTTAGTCTAATAAAATTACGTGGGTGAGTTAGTGTTTATGTCTTTGGCTTGCAAGATGCTGTCCACTTGACATGTCATATGAAGGAAAATAGCTTGGTGCTGTTTCTCTCTCTCAGATGATAATTTAGCCGGAAGGGTGGAGGGATATCTGTTGGTAGGGGTTTTTTAACTGTTAATTGGCTACCAACTCACTAATAAAAATCCAGTATCCTAAAATAGAGACTTAAAAATAGAGCAGCTCGTGGTATACCTAAAATTCAGCTTCTAGAAAAGATCTGCTCCGTTTCAGACATTTCTCAATGCTGTCAGATTTTCCACAAGATTTATAATGAGCACTCTGTAAAACTCTGGCACCTAAGCTGAACGCTGAGCATTTGCAAAGCTCTCCCCGAGGAATTTTCCAGCCAGCCTCAGGGCCCAGGAGTATGAGATCCTTTCTGAAGTCCCCATGCACTGAGCTTCATGCTCTGACTAACCTGATCAGAAGTGTCTCTGTATCTCACAAAATGAGGCCGCAAAATGGAAATCTGGGATAAAATAATGCAGTGGGTTTAAAATGCCGTTTTGACACTGGGTTTTGATCCTTCTTAGGCTCACACCTGTTCAGATGAGTTGTTCTAGTAGAGTCATGTGGGTGCATCTCAGAGCAGCATTTGGCCTCTGTGGCCTCATTCCATGACTTGAGCTAGAGCCTTCCGTCGGTTGCACAGGGTGGGTCCCAGCAAAGTGGCAGGACTGAAGGCTTATTTTGGCTGCCACGCAAAAATGCTGGATGTTTCCATATTTCAGAGAGTGCTTTGCATAAGCTGTGCACGACGACTGTGCTGTGGCAAACCCATCTCTGGGAAGGTAATGTCCTGGCCATAGCAGGGATATTTCTAGCCAATTCCTCACTGTACTACTGGAGATTCTGCTTGTCCTAACGCTGCCTGAAATTAAAGCCAGATGAGAGGCAAAATTTATTCCACCCTTTAGGTGAGAAAAAATGGATGGTAAAACCTTTTGAGCATTGGAGGCACCTGGAAGAAGGCTGAGGGTTGAGTATGTACTGTATGTCTGCACCTCCTGGTTCTGCCAACGTAATGCTCTGGATAAAAACAACGGTGCTTCTGTTCACAGCACAGATTTAGGATGATCCTTGACAAATCAGAAATATTTGGCAGTTGTTGCTTTCTTCTAACATGTTTCCTAAAATTTAAAGGAATTACATTGGCTGTGTTTAGAAGCC